AAAAAAATTTACTTCCGAGTCGAAAAAAAAAAGTTTAAAGATTTATGGAAACATTATTAAAAATGTGTTAAATGAGTGAGGTCGTATGTTTACAGGTTAATTGAAGGTATTATGTTACACCTGGGATATATTGACACCTGAGACCTGGCTACTTCATTCATACAACAACACAGAGAATTAAGTATTGTTGTAGGTATTAAAGTCTCATTTAAGTGTGTGTGTGTGTGTGTGTGTGTGTTTACTTACAAGCATGAATGAGAGACAGAGAGACAGACAGACAGACAGACAGACAGACAGTGTGTCAAAAAATAACATTTATATCAATACAATTATCAAAAACAACCCAATTTGATATAGACTTTGGTCAGGTCTTAATTACAGGTGAGGAACAGTGTATACATTGACGAGGCTAAAGTCTGTCATTACCAACACGAACACATTTTTTCACCCCTTTGACTGGGGGTTTGTGGTGAGGGTGGGTTAATGGACTACTGGGCTGGAATGACTCCGGGTGGCCTGGAATGACTCCGGGTGGGCTGGAATGACTCTGTGGTGGGCTGGGATGACTGTGTGGTGGGCTGGGATGACTGTGTGGTGGGCTGGGATGACTGTGTGGTGGGCTGGGATGACTGTGTGGTGGGCTGGGATGACAGTGTAGAGGGCTGGGATGACTGTGTGGTGGGCTGGGATGACTCTGGGTGGGGTGGCGTTACAGTTAACGAACGTGGTTATGTATTAACGTGGCGTGGTTGTGGAGTGACGTGGAGGAGTGACTTGTAAGGGTGGTGTGGTTGTGGGATGGCGTAGAGGGGTGGCGTAGAGGGGTGGCGTGGCAATAGACTAGCGTGGATATAGGGTGGCGTGGAGGGGAGGGGTGGTTATGGTGTGGTGGGGTGGAGGGGTCGGGTGGAGGGGTAATAGAGAGGGGAGGGGTAGGGGAGACGTGGAGGGGAGGGAGGTGGAGTGGAGTGGAGGGTAGGGGAGAGGTGGGGTGACGTGGAGGAGGGAGAGGCGGGGGGACGTGGGGTTGACAAAGACGTGGGCTGCACCCCTCGGAACACACACTGTAATAAACTCTATTGATTGTTGACACAGTGCTGCTGTTTTCACGTTTTACGAGGGGCGGTGGAAGCTAAGGTGGGCCATGGCCTAGGTGGACGCTAGGGTGGCCCAGGTGGACGCTAGGGTGGCCCAGGTGGATGCTAGGGTGGCCCAGGTGGACGCTAGGGTTGACCAGGTGGATCCAAGGGTGGCCCAGGTGTATTAATTAGTAGACGCTAGGGTATCAGTACACCCCACCATACCACCACTACCCACCAGCACCACCACCACCACCACCACCACTACCACCACCACCACCACCACCACTACCACCACCAGCACCAGCACCACCACCACCACCACCACCACCACCACCACCACCACTACCACCACCACTACCACCTTATATCTAAATTACCAACAGTGAACGTCGACACCTCCCTCACACCACACACCCCAACCTCTCCCTTCTCCGCCCTTCCTCCTCAACCTCTCCCTCCTCCGTCCCTCTTCCCTCAACAACTCCTTCCTCCCTCACCCCTCTCCGCCTTTCTTAATGACCGGGTAATTCCTATTAGCTCCCGTAGGACTTCCCTCCCTACCCTCCACCTCCCTACGCCCCCCCCTCTGTCTCAGCCTCTCGGGGAAGGACCATCGTCGCTTCTCTTTATTCTTTCTTTAATAAATAATGTCAGGAAAGCCCAGGTGAATATCATTGTCAGAGGTAATTAAGTATATCAAGGTGACTACAGGTGTTGAGAGAGATCAACTATGATAATCTTATTTTTGCTAAGCCTTAATTGATACCGACTTACCCGTAATCCGTAACAAACAAGGTAAGTTAACTATCGCAAAGCTATCGTGAGAGATCGTTACGATAATTTTATTGTTTTATCTTTTAATCCAATCAGATATTAACTAACTCGTAATCCCCAACAGACAAGGTGAACTAACTACATCTACCGACTAATTGTTATGATAATCTTGTTGCTAATCTCTAAGTAATATTAACTAATCCATCATCCTTAACTCACACGAGGCAGAAGAATGGGAGAGGATCTCTAACTTAACCTAAGACTAACACACCATGTACACTCCCTGCCCAGGCTAACGGTACCTGACAACTACCTGTGTCATATAAGAGGAAAGCAATTAGAAGGTATTTTATCTACGCACTATTGCAAACCTCTATGACCCCCAGGAGGCACTGAAGGTGACCCTGAAGGTGCCATATATGACTTCCTGCAGTGCCATGTATGAGTGACCCCAGGCCTACAGGATGACTCAAAATCTCAACGTCAAAGAAATTGGGTTTTTTTTTAGTTTTTTTTTTACTACAATTACTGGTCACACTATGAGCCTCCGATATTCACACATACAACTCAGTCGTTGAACAAAGGTCTCGTTTATGTTGGTTTTGTTGAACTCATGTTTCGTTGAACATTTGTGAACACTGACACATTAATTAAGCCTGTAAAATATATCTCTATAACTTTACCTCCGCTATTTTCCAAGTCATAACTCCAATATATTAAATCAGAAAACGCTCATTATTGAACTCGACCGAGATAATCAGGGTACGAACCTGCATACCTTATCTTATACCAAACCACTAACCCAATCTTAAGTTATTGAACGGACACTAAGGACAGACGGGCGGACGGACGGACAGACGTAATATACTCCACCGGCTCTCTCTCCTCCTTCCATCGACATTCACTATACCATACCAATTTCTTTCCTTTATAATAAATATATAACAATTATAAATGCCACTACAATATACAATACATTACTGGCATTACAACTACAATAAATAAATAAGTAAAAATATAGACAAATAAAATAATGACAAAAATAAAATTAATAAATACAATAATTAATATAATACAATACATAAAAAAATATAATAATGAAATACATAAGATATATCTAAAATATTCCTCCACCAACATCAAAATAACTCCCATCCACCTCAAATCCAGACACTATCCAAATCACAATTCGCTCTATCACTCTAAGTTGAATGATCAAGTCTCACCATTTCAACTACACACTGTTTGCTCGTCTACCTCCACCTGGCTCCACACTCCACATAACCAGACACAATAAAGGGATTAAATTCTATTGACGGACGCTGGTGGAGTCGACGCCGAGGAGGACAGACCAAAACTCATGCCAACCTCGTCCTCCGTCAAGGGTGAGTGTTGAAGTTTTAGGAAGTGTTGGAGGAGGTTGCTGTTGTAGTGGTTGAGTTATGGTGGCGTAGATGTTGTAGTTTATTTAGTAGTAGTTGTTGTAGTTGTAGGATAATAATAATAGTAAAAGTAATAACAACAACAACAACAACAATAATAATAATAATAATAATAATAATAATAATAATAATAATAATAATAATAATAACACTAATAAAAATAATAATAATAATAATAATAATAATAATAATAATAATAATAATAATAATAATAACACTAATAAAAATAATAATAATAATAATAATAATAATAATAATAATATGAGAATTATTGTCAAAAAAATAATGACAGTAATTTAAAAAAAGTAAATATTCGATAATGTCAACGATGACCGTAAATATATCAGATGTAGAAATTAAAAGTAGTAGTAATAGATGATAATAATAATAATAGTAGTAGTAGTAGTAGTAGTAGTAGTAGTAGTAGTAGTAGTAATGGTGGTTGTAATAGAAATTATAAAAAATAAAATAAAAAATAATCTCTGACCAATTTACGACAAACAAGGCGATATCGAATCCACATTTTGGTCCATTTAACATTAACAACAGCCCCATTAGACTCCACCATTACCTGCCCCATTACCCAACTTATTACCGATTATCGACATACATCACCTGTACTCTTTAATAACAAAGTACAGCCTTAAAAACAAATAACAATCACAACCAAATGATTATAAACCCAGTAATTATTTATTGTTTAATGAATAATTATACAGGTGATTAGACACTTTATGTATGGTAATTATTCATCGCTATTAGTATGATAATTAGTATACAGGTACAGGTATGTTGCATGATTCATTTATTTTTTTGTGGTTTTTCACTTTCATGGTGTTTTAAAATGGTTATAGAAAGTGGTCTTTTATTTACCTGTGAATGTATTGCTGTGAGTGTATTGAGTGTAGTTACCTGTGAGTTAGTGCACACACACACACACACACACACACACACACACACACACACACACAACAACAGTAATATAACATGTAACTGATCAACTTTTTATCATTAATATAAGTCATTATTTTATTCATGGATAAAATAAATATTATATATCACTTTAGCCGCGGAGAAATATATATATAGAATATATATAAACTGTTGTATATTTCTTTTTGTTAATAGACACCATAAGACATTTAGTACACTGTATATAAAGACATATATCACCGTATATAACGATAATGTTTTCTTTCACAATATATTCAGGGTTTTTGTTATAGTGACCCACACAGACGGCGCCTCAGTCTTAACTCATAAATTATTCATTAGTACAAACACTGGATAAATTCTTCAGTACTAATATTTCTTGAGGGAAAAGTACAAAATGAAATATACTCGTAAATAAATATATTTTTCTGGGCAATATTGTTGTCAAATTATTTTTCAAAATCGATAATTTTTTCGGGAAAAATCTAAAGATAATTTGTCTTTAACACAACTTTTCTGGGGAGGAAAAAGTGAAAATGCTGATATAAAAAAACCATAATTTTCTATGACTTGAAAATAAATTAATTCTTAAAAATTTAATTTTTCTAGAAAAAGTTTTAAATTTATTATTTTCAGTTATTTGTGAAATGTATATAAAAAATTAATTTTCTTGAAGATCAAAGTTGTGAAAAAATTATTGATATAATTAATTAATTTACTTTTTCAGGACGAACAGTGTAATAAGAGAAGGGATGAATTAAACTTAACATTAGCGTAGACATTTATTTCCAGCACAAGATTAGCATCATCAATATAACAATAATATTTACACTAAGGTAGGAGAAAAAAACACGGCAATGTTAAAGGTATACCAACAACAACAACAACAACATCTGTGTACCACTCCAACCCTTACTACAACACGGGAGGGAGGAGGGAGAGAGGTGGGGGGGGCGAGGTAGGGAGGAACTACTACTAGATAAGTCACCTAGTTAACAAAGAGTCTAGCAGCAGGTTGACTCTCTCTCTCACACAGGTAATTAATTAACCTTCCATCTTACAGGTGAACACAACTATACAACGCGGCAGCGACACAAGGAGACTCTGAGGTTTATTTCTCTCTCTATGACTATTATCTAAGGAGACTAGTTAATATTTCTAGAGTGTACTGTACGGTACTGTACTGTACTGTACTGTAGTGATGAAGTGTAGTGAACTAGAGGGAACTAGAGACAACATGTGGGTGAAGGTTACAGTATGTCAACACCTGAGCTGGTCAGGTGTGGCTGTGTACACCGATAGTTATGATCATAAACAAATGAAATAAATGACTTAATAAAACACACATCTGATACAGATAGACTTATGAATGAGGACATGGCCTCAGAACACGATAAATAATATATAGAATAATTTATAGGAATATCTATGTTTATATGCATGGTGGAGGTGATGGCTGCACCAGGACACTTGGGCAGCAGTTTACAGATGCGGAAGTGATGGCTGGCGACAAACAGAAAAGACTTGATCATTAGGAGATGAACAGCAGCAGATAACACGGAAAATATTAAATGATTCTCGAAGGTAAATGAACAGATGTCGGACAAAGAGGATTCTCCTTAAATCACTGGATCACACACACACACACGCTGTAAAGTTTCACCGATTCTATATTTTTATCTGGTGTCATCGTGGTGTTCCTCGCACTGTGTTAAAAAAAGTTTTCTTTCTGTCAATCACCAGTCAAGATGACCGTCCCCTTCCCACCATCTGCGAGAGCGTTTGTTTGTTTTTGTTTTTTATTAGAATATTTTCTTGTCTTTCTAAAGGACTTGAGAAAGAGTCCCAGGAACAGCTCTACTCGACCGCTACCGTCAACACACTTCCTCTGATGAGCTGGTTTGGTTGGCACGTTAGAATACAACAAGACAGAGCTTCACCGTCTGCCTGATAACGTCACACAAGGGGCAATGTTTAGTAATTTTCCTGCGAATAAAACCCAACAGTTCTCTGGTTACCTTGAGGACACAGACACCGGGAGGTTTAGTGAGGACCCCGAGAGACTTGACGCTAGTACTGGACTAGAACTCATGCGTGGAGTGGGCGCAGTGTGGGCGCTGAGAGGGCGTGGTGGACACTGCGGTGTGGGTCAGGGGTACACTGTCACCGTCAAATGGAGCGGACTGAAGGAGATGTACGGAGGAACAACTCCTCTGCGGGCACCTGAGGACCCCCTTCCTGCTCCCTCCGGGCCTCTGTAGGGAGTTTATTGGTGCCCACGTCCGCGCCTCCCCCACCAGCCACTCCTGAAGGGATCCTCGAGTCTTCTGGCGCCATCGTCACATCCTCGTCATCGTCCTCCACGTGGATAGGCTCGTCATCGTCATCGTCCTCTTCAGCACAGAAGTCGTGGAAATGTGAGTTATGGAGCGTCAGTGCCGCAGCACAAGACGTCGGGGGCATCGCTGGGTGTGTGAACAGCGGTGGCGGAGGCTTACTGCCGAGGAGCCGCGACACAGAGTAGTCGGAGGCTGTGGAGGCCAGGGCCGCCGAGATGGCTGCTGTGGAGGTCCGTGGCCCCACTGCTTGAGGTCTCAGAGGTAGAGATGAGGTAAATGGGTTGAGGACAGACAGCGAGGCCAGGGTTGTCAAGTGTGACATATGAACGGCAGCGGGTCTAACCAAGGGCGCCGCCCCTCCACACGGAGCTAACGACGCTGCCATGGCCGCGGCCGCGTACAGGTGGTGGATGGAGGGCGTGAGGTGCGGCGGGTGGTGCATCATGTGTGGCAGCGGCGGGTAGGGCGAGTACTGAGAGGTGGGCGGTGGCGGGTGGGTGGGTGATAATGGCAGGGTGTCACTTGGTGGTGGCGGGAATGGCAGTGGGCGGTGTGTGAGGGAGACATGGGGCATAGGGGGCGGCAGGAACCCTAAGGGTAACGAGACGGGCGGCATGGGTGGCAAAGGCTGGGGCAGCTTGGCGTCGGAGGCTGCCAGGCTCTCCACGGTGAAGGGCTGTTTGGTCTGGTGTGAGAGGGGCGGCATGGCGCCTCCTCCCAGCAGCGTCTCCCCTGAGCACCGCGATGCCTCCAGACACCTCAGAGGGTTGTTGATCTGCGCCAGGCCGGCCTCGAGGGCGTCCTTCTCTGGCTTGGGGATCTTGAAGCGCTTCCTGCGGCGGAGGAAGCTGCCGTTCTCGAACATGTTCATGGCGGACGGGTGCAAGGTCCAGTAGGCGCCCTTGCCGGGCCTGTCGGGGCGACGGGGGATCTTGATGAAGCAGTCGTTGAAGGAGAGGTTGTGTCGCAGCGAGTTCTGCCACCGCTGAGTGTTCTTGCGGTAGTAGGGGAAGTTGTCCATAATAAACTTGTAGATCTCCGCCAGTGTACACATCTTTTCCGGGCTGCCCCAGATGGCCATGGCGGTCAGGGATATGTACGAGTACGGCGGCTTCTGGTCCCCGTAACTCTCACGTGAAGGACGCGGCATCGTGTCTACTTAAATCACTCGAGCATCCGATCACAGAGATGACACTCGTAAGCACCAGAACAGTTCACAGAGCGCGTCAAGAGAGCGCCAGAGTAAGATCCGCACCTGCGTACACCATCACCCG